AACCCACAGTGAGATCTTGATTGGCCCAATCAGTTTGGCCCAACCTTCCATATTTAAGTTAACACAGGTTGAGCGTCTCTCTGGGGGGAGGTCACATTGGTTTGTGGGGTGCCCTGGTGGCTCAGTCGGTTGAGTGTCCGAATTTGGCTCAGGTCATGGTCTTGCATTTCGTGAGTTCGAGCCCCGGGTCAGGCTCTGTGCTGACAGCTCAGAGCCTGGAGCCTGCTTCCGATTCTGCGTCTCCCTCTCTCTGCCCCTCTGCTGCTTGCACCCTGTCTCTCGCGTTGTGACAAAAATAAACAAACATTAAAAAAACAAAACAACTTGGTTTGTAAATTAATAACGAATGCTTTTTCCCGTGATCCACTCTCACTTCCCAAAAATTTAGCAAATACTCAACAATGCTATAATGGGCTATTTTCGTTAAATCGAGTTAGACATTTGTTGACAAGACCCAGTGAGAAAAAAATACTCATGTTTAAGTGAATTTCATGTTTCATTTCTGTGTTTTAATTAAAAAAATTTGCGCTATATATTATTTGAGACACAGTACGGAGAAGCTCATTATTTTAAAGCATTAAATGTTACACAAATTAAATTTTTTTTCTCTGCTTTTTTATGCAGTCAACTTGAAGTTTAAGAATTTAAAATCAGAAACTAGTCTCGAGATGCTATATTTTTAACTGGAGAGCATAATTGGAATAAGAGTGAATCATGTAAGAGTGGCAAGAGTTCTGATGTTCTAGAACCAGATACTTTGTCCAAGTACTTTGGAAAAATACAAATTACATGTCTATAAAGGATATTTTGATTATTTTTAACTCTAATTGTTAAAGGGCATTTAATCTTTTTTTCTTTTCTAATTGATTTAAACTTACTTATCCAATTCTTTTCCAGGATCTGTCGTGTTCCATTTCAGAACTTCAGGGGCTTCTCATTATGTACCATGTTAAATCAGAAATTTTCAATCTGCCAGTCCTAACCAATATTCTCTCCATTTTAACCACCATATATATATATATATATATATATATATATATATATATATATTTATGTAGGCTTCAGGTCCAGCATGGAGCCCAATGCAGCGATGGATCCTGAGATAGATCCTGAGATCAAGACCTGAGCTGAGATCAAGAGTCAGATGCTTAACCAACTAAGCCACCCAAGTGCCCCTAGCCACCATATTTCTTTTTCTTTTTCTTTTTTTTTAATTTTTTTTAATGCTTATTTATTTTTGAGAGAGAGATAGAGCATGGGTAGGGGAGGGGCAGAGAGAGAGGGGGAGACACAGAATCAGAAGCAGGCTCCAGGCTCTGAGCTGTCAGCACAGAGCCCGACATGGGGCTCGAACCCATGAACCGTGAGACCATGACCTGAGCCGAGGCCAGACGCTCAACCAGCTGAGCCACCCAGGCACCCCATCCATATTTCTGAGATTCACTGTGCCATTCAAGAAAATCTGCCTGCTGCTGTCATGAAGGGTTTCATGTCCTCAACCCTAGCCTTCCCCATGCTTTGTATGAGTGGGAAGAAATGGGGCACCACCTCCCCAGGGCAGATCCCCAGTTCAGTCTTCAGTGCCAGCCAAGATGGGGTTCTTGGTTCTGATCCTTCCCTCACATGCTCCTCCCTTGATATGCCATTGCTCTCTGTTGCTAGTCTCACTCACAGCCAGTCAAGCTCCTGCCAAACCTTTGTGGCAGAATAAGAAATGTCACAAATAGTTTCTGTGCATGTGTGTGTGCTTATACACCCGTACAAGCACAAACATAAATACATACGCACATATATTATATACATATATATAAATATATGCATAAATCTCAAAATATTTATTTATTTATTTATTTAGGAGAGACAGAGAGTGCGTGAGCAGGGGAGAGGGGAAAAGAGAGAGAAAGAACCCCAAGCCGTCTCCACACTCAACTTGGAGCCCAACACGGGGCTTGAACACATGACCGTGGGAGCCAAAATCAAGAGTTATATGCCCCACCCACTGAGCCACCGAGGCACCCCTATTTTGGCTTAAAATAATTGCCTAAGAAAAATTACTAAATGTAAAATAAAACATGCAAATGTATTACAAGGATTCAAAAGTATCTCCAATTAAAAAAAAAGGACATGTACATAGAAACTCTAATATGTACAAATAGCAGACACCCATGACATTTACAAACTTTGACAGTGTTTTAAAAAGCTGTCTTCAAATGTCCGTGTACCATAGAAAACTTTGTGGCTTTGTCAAGTGTGAAAGTTCCCTTGCCCACCCTGCAGAGAGTAGAATTCAGTGGTCTGGGGGGAAGTCGAGAGAGCAGGGCATCACAGGTAATTCTGAGAAAGGTAGCTCATAGATGACACTTCCAAAATCATTACTGAAAAGAATAAATTTTCCTCAAATAAAGCAACACCTTTGCTGTCTATATATCTATATCTATATCTATATCTATATCTATATCTATATCTATATATGTATTTTAAAAGTTTATTTATTTTGAGGGGGGGGAGGGGCAAAGAGAGAGAGAGAGAGACAGAGGATCCTAAGCAGGCTCCACACTGTTCAGCGCAGAGCCCGACGTGGGGTTTGATCTCACAAACTATGAGACATGACCTGAGCGGAAATCAAGAGTCAGACACTTAACAGACTGAGCCACCCAGGCGCCCCAGTGTTTGCATTTTTTTAAAATGCCACTGAAAATTCTCTTAAACAGGTTTTTCTTTACAGCCTTCTCATTTATTAAAAGACTTAGCAGACTTTTTCATTTGTTTAGTGATCAGAAATATTTTCGTCGGTATGCTAGAATCTCTTTTTAAAAATATGCCAACAAGGAACACTGCCGAACTTAGGAAAAAAGATTAACATCCACTTTCCTTGGTAGATCTCTATTGGATTTAGAATAGGTAATCAAATACAGGAATGACCTGATTCTATATTTCTAATCGGATATACCCCATTTTACTTTGGAGGCCAATATCGTATGGACTTTAGAGAAGTCTACTTTTTTCTCTCCAAGAACAGATGCCAGAATTCGGACACAAACTTTCTTTCCTTAGAATATCTCCCAATCACAGACGGCTCAGCGAGGCCCCCCTTCTGTGGGAAGAGTAGAGAGAGATAGGGTATCATGAATCAGTTGCTCTCCGCCATACCACCTGGAGCCTATTGGCTACGAGTAAGATTCCTATAAACATGGTTTCCTCATGCTACAGCCACACAAAGTTTGTTTGGTGTTTTCTAGCTTCCACATCTAATACCAGATCCAGAATAAGACACCTTGACACCAGAATGACCTTTGGTACTTCCAACAGGTAGGTGTGGATCCTCGTGTATTTTAGTTGTTCGAAACAGCAGCACCCTATGTCTGTTTTCCTGTATTGTTAGTAACACTGAACATTATCAATATTTTTTACTTTTTCCACTATAGGCATTGCCGTTTTAATATTTCTTTTTTCATTGCTGACACTGAGCAACTTTTCTCATATTTATTGAGAAATTGCCTTTCTTCTGTGAACTTGGAATGCACTCCTTTATTCTATTCTAGCTTTCCGTGTTGCCGTTAAGAAATAGAATTCATTCTGGTGCTTGATCGCCATGTGGAACCTTTCTATCTTGGTCTGGAAACTTGTACACTCTTTTCTTCATTCCCAGCATTCTGAAATTTCATTCCAGGATTATATCTTTGGGATCAGATCTATTTCGAGCCATTGGTCAGCCCATCTCCTCTGAAAACTTGTGTCATTCAGTCATAGGAACATTTTTGCTGAATTCTTTCTTTGATAGTGTTCCCTTGTCTTTGTTCGTTTCTGCCTTCCATTCTGTTTAGGATCCCCTCCTCTTGTTTAGATCCTGTTCTCACTCTGTTCATACGGTATCTTCTGAGTCCTCTGAGGATGCTGATGGCTCTTTTGACGTTCTTTGCTCTTTGGCTATTCGAATATGCAACCAAAAGGCATTGTGGCAGCTCTGAATGCCCATAGGAGGCTTGTCAACCATGGTCTTCACTTTGAGAAGCTCCAAGTGAAAATCCCTGACATCGATACCTTTGTGTCTCTTCTCTTGGTCGATACACTTCCTGCTTGGAGGAGTCCAGTCTGTCCCGCCCAGAGGATGTCTGTCTGGTTGCCAGCCTTCTGGGGGCTCGGGCAGGGAAGAAAGCCGAAGGCCTCGCAGCCATTGTGTCAACTTGCATTTACCTTCCCTGTTTTCAGCCAAATATCCGCACAGGCAGCTTGTTCTGGTACCTTCTGTTTTGTTGTCTCCGTGAAAACAAATTTGGGGGGTGTGAGAGAGCCAATAAAAAGGCTCTGTGGAGACTGCAGAGGGCATATCAGAGTTCTAATTTCTTTGTTTTAATATTTATTTTATTGGGGCGCCTGGGTGGCGCAGTCGGTTAAGCGTCCGACTTCAGCCAGGTCACGATCTCGCAGTCCGTGAGTTCGAGCCCCGCGTCAGGCTCTGGGCTGATGGCTCGGAGCCTGGAGCCTGTTTCCGATTCTGTGTCTCCCTCTCTCTCTGCCCCTGCCCCATTCATGCTCTGTCTCTCTCTGTCCCAAAAATAAATAAACGTTGAAAAAAAAATTAAAAAAAAATATTTATTTTATTTTATATTTTGAGAGAGAAAGAGAGAGAGCACATGTGCAAGCAGGGGAGGAGCAGGGGGAGAGAGAGAGAGAATCTCGAACAGCCTCCACACTCAGTGTGTCAGTGCAGAGCTCCACGCTGGGCTCATCTCACAACCCTGAGCCCATGACCTGAGCCAAAATCAAGAGTCAGACACTTAACCAACTGAGCCACCCAGGCGTCCTTAGAGTTCTAATGCCTTAAACAGCCTAGTACCCAATCCTCTCTGGCCTTTAGCTTCCCTTTTTCCCTTCCACTTTTATAGATTCTTAATATGTCCCAATCCTGAGACTTTGAAAGCTCTGTAGTGTAAATCAGATCACTTGTTGATTTTCTCCTCTGCCGGGTTAGGAGTTCTAGAAGCTTGTGACGTCAGCGGCCATTGTCCATCCGCTCTGCAGATCCTAACTTCGGCTATTGCTTTTTCTGCCCTCTGGTCTTGAGGAATTCTGCATAACTCAAACAAGGAAAAACAGGTTCTCTCTCATTTTTGTAGGAATTTAGGAGGGAGTGGAGGTTGAAAATGTGTGTCCAATCTGGTATCTTTAATGAATGGTCTTCATTTATTCTTTCAGACGAACTTGAGAACGAATTTGTCTTGCTAAAAATTGATCCACGCACCCCCACCAAAGGTCAGACCCTTTGTTTTGTTCATTACTTCTACTTTTGTTTATCAATTAATTTCTAGTTTCATATTTATTATTTTCTTTTCCTTCTTTTTGATTTGTTTTGTGGTATTTTTTAAATTTATTTTTTTAATGTTTGTTTATTTTTGAGAGAGAGGAAGAGAGAGAGAGAGACAGAATGAAAGCAGGGGAGGGGCAGAGAGAGAGGGAGAAGCAGACTCCAGGCTCTGAGCTGTCAGCACAGAGCCGGAAGCAGGGCTCGAACTCACAAACTGTGAGGTCATGACCTGAGCTGAAGTCGGACACTTCATGATGGAGCCACACAGACGTGCCCTGTGCTATTTTTATTATGTACTCGAATTGAATGCTTTGTCTTTTCCCAAATAACAGAAGCACTGAATCCTACATTTTCATCGGTGCGCGACCGTGGCCAAATCCCACAGCAGTTAATATCTAATATTCCCGTCGTCCTCTGATTTTAAGGAGCTTGTAATTTCAATGTTGGTTCTCTTTCCAACAGGTGTTACTTGGAAGAGCCTTAACTTTCCCAATGGGATTAAATTTTGTTATCGTTTTATTTATTAGCATTTCACTTTGCTTCACTGAACATGAGAGAAAACAGAGCTACAAAAGTTCGCCGAAAGCATTTTCATAGTGGGCCTTTCCTCCTTGAAAAAAATAATTTTTGCCTTAAACTTCACAACTGCCTTATGAAAACCCTTCAGGCTTAACTCTAAGGTCTGTGCAGGCAGGATGGAGATAATGTTTTTAAAAACATTCGCAGGCTTCCTCTTTTTTTGCCTTTTCCCACACGCGCGTGAGCCCAAGGTGTCCCTCTGCCACCAAGAGATGTCGGAGAGTGAGACTTAGGAAGATTCACTTGTTAGAGAAGAAATGCAACCACGAACAAAGACTTTTCAGTTGCTGACATTTAAATGGCATTTCGCAAGAAGACAATAGGCAAAAATGCTTGAAAGTCTGTCGAAAACAAAGGCGAGTCTAAACTCCTTTGCTTCCCCTGAATATATCAAATGCTAGGCCCGGACCACAAAGGAGTCATTCTCCCACAGTTCATCGAAAATAGTTTTGTCCGCCAGAAGGGATTGCTGGTGGGTGTTAAACAGAGGGAGTGAAAGGGGAGTTTGTCTGTCTGTCCTGGTCCTGGAGGACAGTTGGA